ATTACTCTATTTGAATCCATCGAACTACACATAGATAATGAAACAAAATTTTACCATGGTTTTGGAATTGAAGTTACAAAATACTCTTTCCCTTTCAAAACATAAGGTAAATTATTATCGCTTATGTTTCAAAAAACATAATAAAACATATTGAGTTTTATATTAAAATTAGTCGTACAAATTTTAAAACTTAAAACTTAACGTGGATTACTATTTTTTTTCTTTATATCTCAAAGTGAATTAGTATTTTTTAAAACAACGAAAACATTTTTGGTACAAACGCATGTATATTTTATGGGAATATTTCACGTAAAAAAAAGTTAATTTCCACCAACAGTTTAACTACGATACACAAAATTGAACAATGAGAATTAATTTGTCCTTGGACAACTCTTGTTTTTGAGAGTGGAATTGACATCGACTTATCCAGGAAAGGACCACCGATATGAACGAGAGGGGGAAAAAAAAAGTCAAAACACGCACCTCAATTCACAAAATAATACTAGTACTACGACAATCTACAACGTTAATGTACCGGTAATCCTTTATATCTATATCTATCTATCTATCTATATATCTATCTATCTATCTATATACTATACTAAGGCAAAAATCAGAGAGAGAAAACTAAAAGCATGGAGCACATGCCACATAAGATTTAATTCTATGTGGTATTTTCTTAATTTCTTAGACTTAAAATTGCACAAAATAAAATAATAAAACCAAAAAAAACGCAACTAAAATAATTTTAAAAAAATAAAATAATAAAAACCGAACTTTTATTTTCATGAACCAAATTCTAACACAGAGATTGATTGGAGAGAGTACTAAATCCTAACAAACATTAGAGAGATCTGCATAAACCTTGTCACCATTGAATTTAAAATATCATTTAAAAAAAACAAATTCCTGTAAACCCAGAGGTAATCATGTTTAAAACTGAAATCATTACATATTTTATAAAAATACAAAATTTATATAAAAATGTCTAAATGTGTATGCCTTTCTCGTCTATCGGACGGGTCTAACACCTAGTACTAATTATATCTTAACCTGTACTTTTCATTCTTTAAACACTTGTACTATTTGCAGAAGTTATCGCATTAAAATGAGAATTTATTTAATGCAATTTTGATTTTTCTTTTATCGTAATGAACTACAAAATAATTTTTTTTCCCTTTATACAACGACCATACAGGCATACATCATCTTAAAATAAGTATATATCACGTATGTTTAATCTCTCACTAATTCAGGATGAAGCTTTTTTTGGGAAGAAACGATTTTATTTTTTAAATAAAACATACTCCCTCCGTCTCATAATTATTGTCCAGTTTGAGATTACACTTTTAGTGCAATTTAGACTAAAAATAAAACTCAAATTTGACAATAATTTTGGGATGAAAGGAGTATACATAATATTCGATTTGAATCTCAAAAATGCACTTTACCTCAAAACTACCATTTAGAAGTCCAATCATAGCTTTTACACTAAGGTCGTAGGTCAATAAAAAAGAACTTTTATGATTGGATCGTTTTCTGAATGTGTTTTTAGGTGTTTTTTATATTGAAAATTTAAAAAGATATTTAAGAAATGTGAAAATATATTTTGAGATAGAACAGTTATTATTATATTATTTTGAAAAAATTATTAAAAAAAAGAGAGCCATGCAAAATTATTGAATGTAAAAAGGGAAGGGGAAAAAGGAAATATAGTATCGTACTCTTTTTTTCCCAAAATGAAATATGTATATAAACAAAATAATCTTTTGAGAAAAGGAAAAATCATTGTTTTTTCCCTTATACCATCAAACATGTTAGCACAACAAAAATCGAGGTCTAATTTAAAAAATCAAATAAACAAAAAGAAAATGAGAGTTATAAATGAGGTGGTTCACCATCATGGGAACATCAAGGAGTAAAGAAATAATTAAAGGAAGAACCGAAGAAGGAAAGAAGAAACCGCAAGAAAAGAATTAGTACTAGTAATAAAGTACATATCGAAAAGACATGCAAAAAACAGTAATGAAAGAGAGAATATGCTTTTGCATCTGATCTGGTGCGTCACTTCTCCCAAATGTTTATTGTTTGCGAAGGTGACAAGAAATTTCCTGTGTAATTATTTTAATCACCGCTGTCAAACCTTTGTGCTTAATCTTAACGGAACGTCCTAAACATAACTACTAAAATACAGCTTTGTTGTTTTAGTTGGTCTCATTGTCGCCTTCCCATTGATATACTCCGTCCTAATTTTCGTTCAATAACTTGAATTATCTTTTTTTTTTAATTAAAATAATATTTTACCCTGTTATTATAATTTTGAAGTTTATTAAAGACTACATACTAATACTTTCTTAATTTTTTTTTTTTTTTTTGCAATTTTGTAACTACACGGTTCACGATTATATTGTTCTGAAAGCATTGTAACCTTTATATAATTGATGACTATTCAGTTGACGAGCTTAAAAAGTTTCTCCTAATTTTATCATAATTTGATACGAATTATCTTTTTTAATATTAGTGTAAATATGATTTCTTTTGTGATCATCATTTACATAATGTGATTGCATGTTTACATATTGTATATAATTTTTTACCAAAAGTACGAAAAATAAATTTATTTGTATAGTTTGTAGTTTTCTCCTAACTGTAATTCCATAAAAATAAAACATGTACTCTTTCCGACCAAAAATTAGCAAATAGACAAATTTGTGAAATACAGCTGCAAAACCTGACTGTTTCTTCTAAGAAAAAAAATAAAATTCAACGGGTATACTATTCAAACTTACAACGTAAAATAATTATCAATGCTATTATAGATTTATTATAAGATTTCGGTGTTTCGTAAACCCAAAAAAAAAAAAAGAAATTATATATTGACAAATCAGGAACAAGAAAAAAAAAGAAAAGAAAAAACTCAAATAAGAGGGGCGCTTCATCTGCTACGCAACCGCCTAGAGGTTTGTCCAATCGAAAAGGACCACGTCAGAAAATTTAACCGGCGGAGATGCTAGAAACTGCGTCCATTTCATCACTTTTAATTACGTGGCGGTCCGTTATTGGTGCCAATTATGTGGAAAACATTTTCCTCCCAAACCGCAGCTTCAAAGTTTCGCGCATCTCTCGTCACTCGAAAAAAGGTGCACCAACCACCCCACTCCAATTGTTAGATGAAAATGACAATTTTCACCCTCTATTTTATTTCCCAAAAAACATTCCATTTCATAAGAAAATTTGAAGCACAAATTAAAAACGTAGTAACGACTAAAATTAATTGTTATGTGCATGTTCTTAATAGCCGTATAATGTGTTAAAATTAGTGTCTAGTTTTCTCCATAATACACTTGGTGAATATCATAGTTAAAAAATAGAATATAAATGATTCGAAGTTATATAATTATGATATTTTGAATAGTTATTAATCTGGACTTAATTATAAGTCACAAATCAATACTAAGTTAATTAAATTTGGACCTTATAATTGGAATTAGAAGTAATATAGCTAAACCATGAATTAAGAGCGATATTCTAATGCAAAAAAGAAATTACAAATGTTTATATACTTTTATAAATTAACAACGTTATTCAAATTAATATTTCTTAAAGTAGTAGTACTAAATAAAGAATGCAGCACTATCACTCGTTAGTAGGTCAATTTGTCAAAAATCGCTTTTTGGACGTTTTGATTTAGTTAGTCCATCGTACCTAGCACCTTGTTGATCAAGTTAACCATTTATTCTAAATTCAAAGTACAATGTTTTGTAGTTTATTTTTATTTTTCACACTAGCTAAGTCTCAAACGGAACCCCCAAACTTGAAAAAGTGTACGAAAGCTTCTAACTTAATTTGACTTCTTATGCCATAAACAAACTCAAAACTTTGGATAAAACCCAAAACTACTACTTCTTTGTCCCCCCTCCACAAAAGTAATCAACAATTCTTCTTATAAGAAAATATGTAATTACATTCATAACCTTTTTCCTATCCGTAAATATTATGCGTGGTTTATAATTATACAAATACAACAATCGTAATTATAAATATTTGTAAGGAATGTTTTATTTTCCACAAACGTTAACAGGTGGAGATTAGAGATCATTCCCAAATATATATATCAAAGTATAGTAGTTGGTTTTTCAAAAACATATTTTTGTTCAAGGCTATATACGTAATTATGCAAAGAAAACCGCAAACTTTTTTGATCAATAATTGGAGATTACTACTGGTATATTTTTTTAAATAAAAATAAAACGAAAAAATAGAAAAGAAAAAAAAACTGGTCTGTAATCTAATTACTGTGGGAACCAATAAATATAGAGAAGAATAAGAAAGTACGGCGAAACTCACCAAAAGCGTTGGAAGCGTTCTTTTTTTAAATATATTCCATCATCTCCATCGCCATCTCCATCGTAGCGTTGCAATTGCGTTTGATATAACTTGGCTGGGAAGGAGAACCGAGCAAAGATCTGCCTTTGACATTATTGTTAATTACAGTGTTAATTTTTTAATAATTATTTCCCGTTTTCCGTTTCATATTAATAATAATAATAATTATTATTATATAATATATAGTAGTATATCAGATTTGTAGATTCTCATACACCAACTCTGGTGGAGAAGAAAGAGAGAAATAATCAAACTCTGCTTAGCCTATCGTACGCTTTGGGTGTTTCCCCACTTAGACATATACTCAAACACTCTCTCCGCTCCTCTCCATCAGCGATAACAAAGGTCCTCTGTTCCAGGTACTCTCGAAAAACCCTAGCTATTTTTTTTAATAGTCTTTGTTTTTTGTCTGGTTTGTGAATGCCTGTGTTAATCTGCGAGATTTTCTTGTTTGAAAACTGTATTTTGTCGTTGTGGATCTTTTGATTAAGCGGCGGATTTTTTGAGATTTTAGTATTTGATCGCGAGGTTTTAATTATTTTTTCACTTATGTCAAATTCTCAGGTGGATGTATATTTTTTGGTGAAGTACTTTTGATTTTGACTGGAAACCTGATGGGGAAGGGAGGGCAAGATTACGGGAAAAAGGAGAATTTCGGTGAGAAGAGAGGGGGATCCAGTGACGAAGGCTTTGCGCCTTGGTCCAAAGATGTGAAGGAGTGCGAAGAGGAGTATAAGGTGTCGCGGGAGTACGGTTTGTCTAGCGACGAGGTGGAAAAGAGGAGGCAGATCTATGGGTACAATGAACTCGAGAAGCACGAGGGGCCTTCCATTTTTAGGTTGATTCTGGACCAGTTTAATGATACTCTAGTTAGAATTTTGCTTGTGGCGGCTGTTGTTTCTTTTGTTTTGGCTTGGTATGATGGGGATGAAGGTGGGGAGATGGAGATTACGGCCTTTGTCGAGCCGTTGGTGATTTTCTTGATATTGATTGTGAACGCAGTTGTGGGGGTGTGGCAGGAGAACAATGCTGAGAAAGCATTGGAGGCTTTGAAGGAGATACAATCTGAACATGCTTCTGTGATTCGTGATGGTAAGAAGATTCCGAGTTTGGTTGCAAAGGAGCTTGTTCCTGGGGATATCGTTGAGTTGAGAGTTGGGGATAAAGTTCCAGCGGATATGAGGGTTTTGAGTTTGATTAGTTCAACTCTTCGGGTTGAACAGGGATCCCTGACTGGAGAAAGTGAGGCTGTTGGTAAAACTACCAAGCCTGTTACAGAAGATGTTGACATTCAGGGGAAAAAGTGCATGGTGTTTGCTGGAACAACAGTGGTGAATGGAAATTGTATTTGTTTGGTAACTCATATAGGAATGAATACTGAGATAGGTAAGGTGCACTCACAGATTCAGGAAGCTGCGGAGAGTGAGGAAGATACTCCATTGAAGAAGAAACTCAATGAGTTCGGAGAGGCCTTGACTGCTATTATTGGTGTCATCTGTGCCCTGGTTTGGTTGATTAACTTGAAATACTTCCTCACTTGGGAATATGTTGATGGCTGGCCGAAGAACTTTAAATTTTCATTTGAAAAGTGCACTTACTATTTTGAGATTGCTGTAGCATTGGCTGTTGCTGCCATTCCTGAAGGACTCCCTGCTGTGATCACCACTTGCTTGGCTCTTGGCACTCGGAAAATGGCTGCTAAAAATGCGCTTGTTCGCAAGCTTCCCAGTGTGGAAACTCTTGGTTGTACTACTGTGATCTGCTCAGATAAAACTGGCACATTGACTACTAACCAGATGGCAGTGTCAAAGTTAGTAGCTATGGGTGCTAAGGGTGGGGCTCTTCGAGCTTTTGATGTCGAAGGGACTTCTTATGATCCTTCTGATGGGAAAATTCAGAATTGGCCAAAGGGCCAAATAGACTCTAATCTTCAAACTATCGCTAAGATCGCAGCTGTGTGCAATGATGCTGGAGTAGAACAATCTGGCCATCATTTTATAGCAAACGGCCTGCCCACTGAAGCCGCATTGAAGGTAAATTACTGTGATCTCGCATTTACTTTAAACTGTCCTCAGTATTTTATTCCCATGTAAAGAAATTGTCGCTTTCTTTTAGTTTTTTGTAAATGTATGGGGTATTTATTTTGGTTCTTGTCGATATAGCTTACGGCAGCTAGACATTAAATGAGATGTTTGGTTTGTCAACGCGCCTGAGTTCCTGAAGTTTGATTTTGTTAGTCTGTCTGGTAAAACCGTGTTTGGTTATACTCTCGAAGGCTTTAATATCTCATGGGTCTAGTTGACATAAGTAACATATCGCATCTTGTATTATTGACTAGATGTATTTTTCTTTCATCAGATGTCTCCATGAAATTACTTTCTTTTTTTGCGGCAAATGTGCTATGCGCACTCTATTTTATATCAGTGTGTGATTATTGATTTTAAAGAAAAAATGTGCTATGCGCACTCTATTTTATATCAGTGTGTGATTATTGATTTTATCTTCCTGTTACTGTTTATGAATTAGGTTCTGGTTGAAAAAATGGGTCTTCCTAGTGGATTAGATTCTGACTCAGCTTCCAGAAATCATGATGTACTCCGTAAGTCATTTTATCACCTTCCTCCTTACCACCATCCAGACTAAGTGCGAAATTTACTCTACTTATATTTGGTGTGTAATTTGGCAAGGTTGCTCGAACACATGGAATAACATTGAGAAACGTATAGCTACTCTTGAGTTTGATCGTGATAGGAAATCCATGGGGGTTATAGTCCGTTCCAACTCTGGAAGGAATTCATTGCTGGTGAAGGTAACCACATTCATTTAATTCTCATTGCAATATCCCCTCTCTGTTATTACATTTTCCTGATCTCTCCCATATTAATTTTCTTTTTTCACCTATATTCCCTTCCTCTTTGTGGTGTCTCTTTGGAAATTAATCTTTTAACTTCTATGATCCTCCGTTCTGAGTTGGACCTTATCAATTCATAAAGACCCCAAATTAGATGTGTATTATGGTATGTCTAACTTAGTTTGAAATGAAACACTTTGGACATCCTACTGGCTGCACTTGCAGTCATTGTTTTAACTTTTTGCTCCTGGAAATCACTCTATTATAGGCAGTTTTTTAGAAAATCAGAAATATTAATTTCTTTTGCCCTTTGCTTTTGTGATTTAAATTGTTCTTATAAAATTTGATTTACTTGGTCATATGAAAGGCAAATGAACTTTTTTTGACTAAATCTGGGTACCTTTTTCGTTGTAAATGAATACTTTTGGAGCTAATAAACATAATGATAGTATAATGTGCTTTAAGTTCAAGATTATCTGTTTGGTTGAAGTTGACCTGCTATGTTTATTACATACGTACAGGGTGCGGTTGAAAATCTGCTGGAGCGCAGCTCCTTTGTGCAACTAAATGATGGTTCTGTTGTTGAGCTGGATCAAAACTTAAAAAGTCTTATATTGGATAGCTTGCAAGAGATGTCATCGAAGGCATTGCGTTGTCTAGGTTTTGCATACAAGGATGACCTTCCAGAGTTTGCAACGTATACTGGTGACGAGGACCACCCTGCCCATCAGCTTTTACTGAACCCTGCAAACTATTCTTCGATTGAGAATAAGCTAGTTTTTGTTGGTTTGACTGGGATTAGAGTGAGTAACTATTTCATTGCTTCTCTAGTCATCATCATACTTGTTTCTTGAGTTGAAGTTATAACAGTAGTGTCCCTTTTCTTGTTCGATGACAGGATCCTCCTCGGAAAGAAGTCAGGCAAGCCATTGAGGACTGCAGAGCAGCTGGCATCAGAGTTATGGTAATTACTGGAGATCACAAGAACACAGCAGAGGCTATCTGTCGCGAAATTGGTGTTTTTGGATCGCATGAGGATATCAGTTCCAGAAGCTTGACAGGAAGAGAGTTTGCAGAGCTCCGTAACCCAAAGTTGCATTTAAGGCAAGAGGGGGGCCTTCTCTTCTCCAGGGCTGAACCCAGACATAAGCAAGATATAGTGAGACTGCTCAAAGAAGACGGTGAAGTTGTTGCAATGACTGGTGATGGAGTCAATGATGCGCCTGCCTTGAAACTGGCTGATATTGGGATTGCCATGGGGATTGCAGGAACTGAGGTAGCCTTTTTCTTATTGTTTCCTCAAATTCAAAAACCCGTCTTGTGTTATTTTTATTTCATGGCATAAAAATTGGTTCTTTCTGGAAGGAACCAGTTATGGGATCTTTTGCAATGGTTGCAAAATGGCTTTTTCTTGTGCACGTTTTAATTTCAAAATCCAGAGAGGGGTTAGGGGGAGGGCGTTTAAATGTTTGCCCCTGTTTTATGTGATGGCATTTTGATTTGTGCTTTTGCCTCATTTGATTTCCGCCATGTTCCAGGTTGCGAAAGAAGCTTCTGATATGGTTCTGGCTGATGATAATTTCAGCACAATTGTAAGTGCTGTTGGTGAAGGTCGATCCATTTACAACAACATGAAAGCATTCATTAGGTTTGTTTTTTTTTTCCTTGATCTGGTTGCACCTTATAAATCCAAAGGTCTCTTCGCATGTGAACAGATATCTCAGCTTTTTTGTGCAGTCCTGTATGTCAGGCAATGCAATGAGCCTCGCACCCATTGCTAATTTCTTCAGGCTATTCAGATCCCCCTCCCTGTTGCTGAGCTAATCATTCGGAAATATGTTCCCTTTTTTCAGGTACATGATATCCTCAAACATTGGTGAGGTTGCCTCCATATTTTTGACTGCAGCTTTGGGTATTCCAGAGGGTCTTATCCCCGTTCAGCTTCTGTGGGTCAACTTAGTTACTGATGGGCCTCCAGCAACAGCATTGGGATTCAATCCACCAGACAAAGATGTGATGAAGAAACCCCCAAGGAGAAGCGACGATTCATTGATCAGTCCTTGGATTTTGTTTCGTTATTTGGTAAGAATTGTAGCATGTTCCAGAGTTCGGAAATTCTCAATTCTATGCTTCTCTTTCTGATGGTTGGTGGTGTTCATTTGATTATTCAGGTAATTGGAGCCTATGTTGGTCTTGCAACGGTTGGTATCTTCATTATCTGGTACACGCACAGCTCTTTCTTCGGTATTGATTTAAGTGGAGATGGCCACAGTCTTGTTACCTTTTCCCAGCTTAAGACCTGGGATCAATGCAACTCATGGGCAAATTTCACCGCAAGTCCTTTTACGGCTGGCAATCAACAATTTACCTTTGACTCAAACCCATGTGACTATTTCCAGACCGGTAAAATCAAGGCAATGACGCTCTCCCTGTCTGTGTTGGTTGCCATTGAGATGTTCAATTCCCTTAATGCTCTCTCAGAAGATGGAAGCCTCCTTTCAATGCCTCCATGGGTGAACCCATATCTTCTTGTGGCCATGTCAGTATCATTTGGCTTGCATTTCTTGATTCTTTATGTACCATTCCTAGCTCAAGTGTTCGGGATTGTACCCCTGAGTTTGAACGAGTGGTTATTGGTATTGTTGGTTGCTCTTCCTGTCATATTGATTGACGAAGTTCTAAAGCTTGTGGGTCGCTGTACAAGCGGGTTTCGAACGTCAAGAAGACATGTCAAGGACAAGGCTGAATGAAGACAGCAGAGAGAAGCTGATATCTGAGGAAGATCACCCATTGATTCATAAAGCCCATACCGGGTAATACTGGCCAATCCCTCCTTTTCGCAAGTGAGAGACAATGAGACAGTAATTTGATAAGGATGTTAGATTTTAGGAGGGTTATATAAATTGGTTGGACATCTATAAACTTATTATGCTAGAATGTTACAAACTTGACTTGGTAGTTTTGTTTTTGGCTGAAGGATCGGCCTTGTAAGTGATGGATCGATCTCATTAGGTTAGAGGGAAATTGAAACAACAGAGTAATCTTGGCTCTGCTAATTTGTTTGTTGTCCTTCCTGATAACGCTAACTATTTGCGGCTGGAAATTTAGGCGGTGGCAAAGTTAAACTTCATACATGAGATTTTGGTCTGTATATTGTGCTCTATGATGCTCCTTCTTTCGTTGGCTTCTTGGCCTTTGTTTAAGTCCGTGGTCGTTCTCGTTCCTGTCCCGTTTTCTGGGACATGGGAATGATTCAACTTAAATGCCTGTATAATAGGGCAGCTGGTTCTGATATTATCAGGACGAGGACTAATTCTGCTACGTCTACGTGTCCAATTATTCGACCAAGATAATTAGAGTTTTTTTTTTTTTTTGAAGATGAATTAGAGTTGCTAGTTGCTACCAATGAATATGAAAAAGTAATCAGAGCTCCATGCCAAGAAGGCTAGATGAAGAAGATGGAGAGGAAACAACAGCAGCTCATTGTTTTATTAGTCAATAAGATTGAATTGTATCAGGGTTATGGATATATGATGTTAATTATTTCACCACTAACTTCGTCAATGTTATTAGTTCTAACGTAATTCACCTCAAACGCAGTGATTATCTTCCTTCCTGGAACTGTTGAACTTGTAAAAGCTTAAGCACAAATCCTCTGATCATCTCCGGGAACAAAAAACTTGGTACCATATCTTTGGAGTTGAAAATTGGGTTGAAGCAAATGATCCTGATTCCTGAAGTTAAGAAGGAACATGAAGAAGATTTTGTTAGTCTTGGTAAATCATAAGGTACCTCTTAAATACAATGAATCTAAATAAAGGCAAAATCCTACTAAGAAATTGGTGAAAGATAGATTGTAATTGTAAAACAATCATATTTTTCGTTTTTTTTTTTGTTTTTTTTTTTGTTTTTTTGTTGTTCTTAAATTTTCCTAACGAAGTATGTATTGTAATTAAATGAAATTTGGATAAATTGTTATTTCTTACTTTAAGAAGTGATTTGTAATTAATTATACTGATAATGTATGTAGATGGTCGATGGGGTTTCAAATGACTAGAAAGCGAAGTGTAATTAAAAAAAATGTATGTAGAAGTAATAAAACCTACAAAATCAAAACCAACCTAAATACAAGTCTAGAAAACTTGCTACAAGGAACTTCGAAGCCCACTAAGGGCATCTCCAGCCCTTTGCCCCTCTAAACTCTATATTTAGAGTTGAAACAGTGAAATTTCATTACTTTTATAGTTTAAACAGTGTTAGCATCTCTAACCCATTTTATCTATAAAATCCCTAATATTCTCAGTATATTTTATTATTTCATTTTTCGTAAAATTAATTTTTGTTATTTGTATTTTATTATATTCTATTACTAAAATAAATTACATTTAATAAATTTTGCAATTACGCATATGATTGTTAATTTAAATAATAATTAGTAATATTAATCATTAAATTTAAATTGCAAAAGTTTTACGTAATTAATTATAGTAATTTTTTTACCATATATTATATCAAAAAAACAATAATCAAAACAGTGTATTTGTTTTGATTGTTTGTAGTATTTCTTTTATGTGATTTTATTAATAATAATATGTATCTTATGATTTTATAATAAATCGATAATGGTTTTTTAGTCTATGTTAACAATATACATACATATATTTACTATTGAGACGTAAATGCACTCGCTAAAATGATACATTATGATTATTAGTTTTTAGTTCTACTATTTAAACAATAATTATAAACAAAATAGATATGTAATAAATTATAATAATTAAACTAATTAAGATATGAATGAACTATTAAAAAAGGTTGATGAAAACAGCCCAAAATGAAACAAATCAGCCCAAAAAAATAAAAGCCTAAACAAACTTCCTAATTATAACCCAAACTTTTGTTTTTTTTTTAAAAAAAAAGACAAGGTCCACCAGCATTGTAGCGGGTGAACAGTCCCCTTCAAGTTTGAAGGGATAGAGGCCCATTTAGCGGAGCAGGGCAGAGCGGGCTGCGCTAGAGAACCCACTCCGCCAAAACTAACTGGGTGAACGCGTTGGAGATACCTAAAAAAAATAAAATGTGGCAAGTAACACATATTTTAGCTCAGTCTAGATCTGTAGCAATATCAAATCTCGTCTATTTTTTTTTTTGGTAATCACAATGACAAAATGTTGGTATATAATCTTTTTACTTAGTTGAATAAAAAATCTTTATTGCGAGATACATATGAATTCATATGAGAAATAATAAAAATTCCTTATAACAAAATAGAAAATGTAATTAACTTCGTTTTACCAAAAATAATAGACTCTCAAATTCAAATCGTAGGTTTTGAAGAATTTTCAACCGCTAGGAATTGTGTATTTTATTTCACGTTATCGTCAATTATATTCTTAATTTTTTTCGATTAATATTTTCAAATCATAAAAATATGAAATCATTTATCTTGGAGGTCATCAAAATATGAAATATTTTCAGATCATTTTCTTAGTGTCTAAGAGGTCAATTAGAAAAGATAATAGATCTGAAAGGGGTGAGTGACGTAGTTTTGAATGAAAAGAAATGTAAATTATGCATTAAAAAGACACTTCATGAAAAAATTATGGAAAAAGGACATAAATCCTTTTGAATTATGTTCCAAAGACGAAAACTGTTCCGACCTTTTCTATAAGAACAATCACTTCTCCTCCTTGACAGCCAGTCAATGGCATTGACCCTCCTGTCTCCTGGGGCAAAAATGACAAAAAGATATGCATGTGACAACCAAATTCGGATGGTAATTGTTTTTATAGGAGAGGTCGGAGTAGTATTAATCTTTGAGACATAATTCGGAGGATTTTTGTCATTTTTTCAAAAATTAATCTTTGAGATTTTTAAGCCGGCGACAATTTCTTGACGTAGAAAGGGAGGCAAGGGATTTGGAAAGGGCAGTGCCAAGCGTCACTGTAAGGTTTTCCAGAACAATATTTAGGGAATCACGAAGCTTGCTATTCGGTATTTGGCCTATAGGGGTGGAGTCAAGCGTATCAACGATTTGATTTACAAGGAAACTCGAAGAATGTTGAAGATCTTTTTGAGGAACGTCATCCGCGATGAGCTGCACTTTGTAAGATGCAATAAGCCCAAGAAACACTAACACTGCATACTAATAGATCTTACAAGAAATACTTGCTTGTTTGGATGTCAACTTACATTTCATTTTGCCACTTAAAAGTGGAAAGTGTTTCAAATTGAAAACTAAATGAGAAATAAAAATGTTGTTTGGATGTTGGTTTTGAAAAAAAGTATTTTGAACTACATTTTAAAATATCAAGTACAAGTCAACGCTAAACAATTAAATATTATCAATTATAGTCACTGCAAAAAAGAACTTTTCCAAAAACAATCAATCAACAACGGAATCCTGCCAAATTTGTCACTGAAGTATTTGTAGTTCTAAAATGGTCATTACACTAACAGAAAGTGTTTCTAGTTGGAATTTAAAATGTAAATCAGAAGTTACTTGGATGATATTTTCTTTTCCATTGAATTTTGTGTTTAATAGGTAAAATGAGTGAAAATGTAAAATGAGTTGATGTACACAAGGCCTAAAATCCCCCCAAAACCTTTGGTGAGTAGGTCCCACGATTTTCATCCAAAAATTTCAGTCCAAAAGCCCAAGGCGGTAACTATACCCCGCCTCCAATTCCAAATTTGGGCGAAATAAGTCCACGCGCCCCTCTTTCAAAATTTTCGCACTAAAGAAACACAAAATCTCTTTCAAAATTAGAACGTCCACGTCATCGATCTGCGCCCGTTTAAAAATCCATCTCAGCCGTTCATAATAATATCAACGGCACAAGGTAATCTACAATTTTAATCACACGGATCGAGTCCCGGGCTCCCACAAAAGCCACATCAAATTTGCACGGCACTATAAATAGGTCACCAACCGCAGTTTTCATCTTCATCCTCGATTAAGTCCCAATTCAAAATACTCAAAATCTCTCTCGCCTCCCAATAGCTTCTTCTTCATTCAATTTCAAGGTGCTTTTCCTTACCCCGGCTTCTCATAGCCAAATCAATTTAGATTCTTGTTCAATTTCATTTTGCAATTGTTTTAGAATTCGTTCTGTTTCTTTCTTTCTCCCTCATTGGTTCATCTTCTGAGTTGTTCATGCTTGATTTCTTCATCTGTGACCTAGGGTTTTGGATTAGGATTAGGATTGTTGGATTTCCATGGAATTGATGTTTAATTCTTGCTGTTTGGTGTGTAAACAGGTAGATCTGTGAGCTTTTTCAGCCGGCGACAATGTCTGGACGTGGAAAGGGAGGCAAGGGACTAGGAAAGGGAGGTGCCAAACGTCACCGCAAGGTTCTCAGGGACAACATTCAGGGAATCACCAAGCCAGCTATCCGGCGTTTGGCCCGTAGGGGTGGAGTCAAGCGTATCAGCGGTCTGATTTACGAGGAGACTCGTGGAGTGCTGAAGATCTTTTTGGAGAACGTTATCCGTGATGCTGTGACTTACACTGAGCACGCTCGCCGGAAGACGGTGACCGCCATGGACGTTGTTTACGCGCTCAAGAGGCAAGGAAGAACTCTATACGGTTTCGGTGGTTAAGAGGCGTATGGAAGAACAGGGGTACACTTGCAGGGAAATCGACTGAGTCGTCTTTAGGTACTAGGGTTCTCTAGAAGTCTTGCTGTCAAGAAAAAAATAAGAAAAAAAATTCCTCTGTTTCTCATTAGGGGTTAATTTTGATGTAATTAGTTCACTATATTAGTAAGCAGTGTTGGGTGTTTCTTTTCCCAGTCCCTCTTTCTTATGAGTGTGTTGGCCTTTTGGATGATTAGTTGAATGAATTGAACAGCTTGTTCTTTCGCATTTTGATCTTAGTTTGAAACTTCTGTTACATTGTTTCTTACAGTTTCAGAACTAATCATTTCTTCTCTTTAATTTATTAGCATTGTTTTAAAGATAAGTACTTCGATTGCACAAAAGCATTGTCAATTTTTCCTCTTTGTAGTCTACATTATTCTAGTTAGTAATTAATTCACATTGTAATCCAAATTATTCCAGTTAATCTGATCTTTGGGTTAATCAATTGTTTGCTCTTCAATATTGAGCACTTCTTATGTCTATAATAATAAGACCGCTGGTTAAGTGAAGAAAGAGGTCCATTTTGTTTGGACGTTTGAAACTTCCCAAAATCACAAAAACCTCCGGATATTTGGGCCCGTACCACCAGTCTGACCGTCACGTCGCCGCCTGTATCCGCCCTCAAATCTAATCAATCCGGCGGCTTCCTTACAACCGTCTTATCAAAGGTTCGATGTCCGACAATAGACCGCTGCACCTTCCCTCTCCGTTCTCTTTGGCTTTCTTATCAAACTGGCTCCGGCGGTTTCTAGCTCCAGCAAGTTCCACGTCGAGGTGCTAAACGTCCCCGTTTCAACTCCCTTCCGTTTGTAAACGAGATTGGCCCTGTGCTTCAAGTCTGATGACATTTTCGCTGTGAATCATAACTCATTTGAACAGGCTCGTCAAACTGCGGAGGTTAGATTAGACTGCGTTTTTCCTCCTCGAGTAAAATGTATACAACTTTATTCGATCATTATTTTTATTGCTTGGCATTTAATTGCAGGTTGATATCATTGCCGTTGGATTTGGAGTTGCTGACTTTTAGACTCGAGCAATCCTTGGTCCAAGCTGCAATTAAGGTTTGTCTTGATCAGAGTTTTGATGCATCCCAGAGAACATGCTAATCATTTTAATCTTTGATATATACAGCTGCTTGTGGATGCCTATCGGTATCTAATTGAGATACTTGTTAATTTATGCTTTCAACCAGGGGTGTATTTTGAGATATGTTGCTCCGGTCTCCTTGTGGATGCTCAATTAAAGAAGCGCTATATCCACTGCAAAGGTAAATTTTAAATACAGTTCCTCCTTCATTAACACTGCCAATGTGGTTTCCACCTGCTTGTGGATGGCCTTTTATATTTGGTGTATGTGTAATGGAGATTAATTAACTCATGGAACAGAGATCATGTGTTCCAACAATAGACAGTGGCAATACATTATCTTTCTAGGAAAAGACCTTAGAAGACTCTGAAAGAAACTATTAAAGCCTATTGAGTATTTCTTGAGCTGCATTAGGTAATAGTCTCCATGCCCGAGTAATCTGTCATTTTCAATGGTGCATGTGAGACCATTTAGGGTTGGCAGGTGCATTGCCAGTGTTTTGTAAGTGTTCGGTTGTTTTTAAGCACATAAATGAAACTAGAATTGCTTCTTCAAATAATTCATTAAAAAATTTTGTGTGCAGAAGTAGTGTAAGTTAGGAACTCTCAGTTTTAGTTGTTCGTGATTACAAAGAGGTGGATATGACTAATTTGAGAATGCCTTTTAATACAAATGTTTAAATGCCATAAAGCCATTTCTAGGTGGAGATGACTGTGTAGCTTTTGCAGATTTTAATATGGACTATCAGGGTATGTCCTATGTCACCGGAGTAAGGACAGTGCTAGAATTATCCACTGAAATTGGGCTTAATTATCAAGGGATGTTTATATGATTGCACCTAAAAACAGCATCTCATTGATTTCTTCCTTGAATCTTTAAGCTGACAAAAATTATTTAAGATCAATTTCTCATTGTTTTTGTTGACTAAATAGGTAGCATGTTTGATGTTAAATTGGAACTAGTTTCATGTTATTGCTCAACATATTATGACATAGTTCATCAAATGTGCTCTGAACGCTCCCTTATTCACCAGGCCTTAATTTGTTACACGTTCATGTTGTCTATAAATCAGTTCTTGTTGTATGAATTGGTATTCCTACTAGAATAGATTCTGACTCTGCTTCCAGTAATAAGTGGTATATCTCCTTTCTCCTTGTCATCCATACTAAGTGTTAAACTTACTGTACTTGCATTTGTGTTATTTGACAAGGTTGCTGGAACACATGGAATAATATTAAGAAACATATATCTACTTTTGAATTTGATTACGATAAGAAATCTAATGGGGCTATGGTCCGTTCCATTTCTGGAAGGAATTCATTGTTGGTGAAGGTAAGTGCATTTGTTTTGCGCTGAAAATCTCGTCGCTAGATTTTTAATTTCAGATCTCTGTGCTGTGGTGTTTCTTCCTTTATTATTCCTCTGGTGTTTCTGGTACACAGATATGAAAATTTGTGGAAGCATGTCTGCAGTTACTTTTGGGTTTAAAAGCACTAACTTAGATGTTAGTGTAGTAAATGCTAAGTGTAACTTTGTCGGAGAATGAAACGTGCAGAACATGTCTACTGGCTGCACTGTTATCTATTCATCTTTCTGTTTCTAGAAATTATTCTGCTAGGCAGTTTTCAAAATTAAAAATCATGAATTTCCTTTGCTCTTTGTATTGTGACTGATTTATTGTTGTATGTATTTTCAACTTTGAGGTCTCCATTGTCTTTACCCATGCCGCTTAAGAAAATGAAAACATGAAAAGAAATTGGTCTAATGAAATTTGATTCTTGTTGCCATTTAAAAATACAACTGTCCCCTGCCAAGGAATGATTGAGCTTTTTGGCTAAAACTGGATGCTGACGGATGAGCGATCTATAGCCAATCCCACATAGTGGGAAAAGAATTGTTGTTGTTGTTTTTGTTGTAATAAAGCTGGATGCCATTTTCCTTATGGACTAATGCTTATGGAGCTGAATAAACATTATGATAGTATGGCCTATAACTTCAAGCTTCTTAATTGATGTCCCTGTATGATTGAATTTATGTGTTATTCTACTTGTCAGTGGAAAATCTGCTGGAGTGAATTGGAATATTGGTTCTGTTGTTGAAGTGGATCAAACCTTAAAGAATCTTATCCTGATAGCCTGCAAGAAATGTCACGGAAGCCATTTACTAGTCTAGGTTTTGCAGGCAGGATGACCTTCCAGAGTTGGCAAATTACACTGGTGATGAAGAATATCAAGCCCATCATCTCTTACTGAACCCTGCAACCTGTTCTCCGATTAAGAATAATAGAATTTGTTGGCTGCACTGGAATAAGAGTCAGTAGTTTTTTTCACCTTTTCTCTATTAATCATCATCCTTGTTTCTTGCGTTGGAGTCATTACAGTAGTGTTCCTTCTCTTATTTTGTTGTCAGGATCCTCCCCGTAAAGAAGTTCATCCAGCCGTTGAAAATTGTAGAGCAGCTGGCATCAGAGTTATGGTTATTATTGGTGGTCACTGGACATTGGGGTTTGGATTGCCTGAGGATAGTTCTAGAATCTTGACGGAAAGAGAGTTTACAGAGCTCCGTGACCCAAAGTTGCATCAAGGCAAGAAGGGGAGATTCTCTTCTCCAGGGCTGAACACAGACATAAACAAGAAGTGAGACTGTTCAAAGAAGATGGTGAAGTTGTTTCAATGACCGGTGATGCAGTCAATGATGCACCTGGCTTGAAACTGGCTAATACTAGTGTTGCAATGGGAATTGCAGGAATTGAGGTAAAAGCTTCTTCTATTGCTTCCACTTAAGTAACAGATATGTCGCCATGTTTTTATCTGTAACGCCTATAAATTGGTTGGGACAAAATGTATCACATTTGTGGTCGCCAGTGGGAGTGGTTAATTCTTTGTAGTGATTGCATTGACTTTGTCAAATATTGATTTTGTGAGGAACATAAGGACACCATAACGGAAGAGACTAGTGTCTGGATCTTTTTCAGTAGTACAAAATGGCCTTGTTTTCATGTGCACATTCTAATTTCAAAACTTCTGGTGGGGGAGAGGGATTGGGACAGGAGGGGATGTGGCAGAAAGTAGAAAGAGAAGAGTAGACGGAACCGTCACTTTAGAAAGAGTAGTAGAAGTTGGAGTATTTTTTCCGTTCTTTCTGTATTATAAAATCCTCCCGATGGAGGGTCGGGGGTTAAAGTTGTTTCTCTTGTATTAGTTGATGGTATTTTGAGTTGTGCTTTTGCCTTGAGTATCATTCCATTTTCTTCAGTTTGCGAAAGAAGCTTCTGCTGTGGTTCTGGGCTTTCTGGCTGATGATAATTTCAGCATGGTTGTTAGCGCGGTTGGTGAAGGCAGATCCATTTACGACAACATGAAATCTTTTATCAGGTTGGTCTTTCCTTCCATGATCTTGTGCCACCTTATAAATCAAAAGACTTCTTTGCATTTGCAGTTGTACAAATACAAGGTTTTTGTACAATTTATGGTTATACTAGTGTCAGGCAGCTCAGTCAGTCTTTCAGCCTTGTGGATTTCTCTCCATGGCTATTCTACTCCTAATCCCTTGTTGTTGCTGAACAAATTATTTGAAAGCCTGTTTTCTCTTTTTTCCAGGTACATGATCTCCACAAAATGGTGAGGTTGCCTCCACATTTTTATTGCGGCTATGGGTATCCCGGTGGGTCTATCCCAGCTCTTATTTCGGTATTGATTTAAGTGGAGACGTCCAGTCTTATTACATATTCCCAGCTTGCGAGCTGGGGTCAATGCAACTCATTGGCAAATTTTTCTGTAAGTCCTTTACCGCTGGGAATCAACAATTTATATGGCTCGAACCCATGTGACTACTTCCCGGCAGACCAAATCAGGGCCATGACGCTTTCCCTTTCTGTTTTGGTTACCATTGAGATATTCAATTCCCTCAGCTCTCTCAGAAGATGGAAGCCTCCTTGTAATGCCTCCATGGTTAACCAACCATATCTTCACGTGGCCGTGTCACTATGTCAGTACCATTTGGCTTCTAGTCTTTGATTCTGTGCTTGCCATTCCTTGCTCAAGTGTTTGTCAAGAAGACACATTAAAGACAGGAAGTACCTCATTGAAGATCAGAGTGAGAAGCTGATATCTGGGCGAAGAACAGGCATTGGTTCATAAACCCCATGCCGGGTAATACTGGCTAATCTCTCCTATTCGCTCTCAAGTGAGACAAAGAGACAAAGGGTCTTGTTAGATTTAGTTATATAAATTGGTTGGATATCTTATAAACTTATGATGCCAGAATGTTACGAAACATGACTTGGTAGTTTTGCTTTTGACTGAAGGATCGGCCTTGTCAAAGATGCATTAGGTTAAGCAGGGAAATTGAAACAACAGAGTGATCTTGGCTCTGCTAATTTGTTTGTTGCCTTTCCTGATACCGTTTGCTATTTGAGACTGGAAATCTAAGGTGCTGGCAAAGTAGAACGTAATACTTCTGAGATTTTTCTTTTGAAATTCTCAAAATGACATTTACTTTGAGTTCTTTGGGGTTCCTCTTTCAGTAGGCTTCAGAGCTTGTGCAACCACGTCCATGGTTGTTCTTGGACCTTTGTTTTTTGTCACGATTGGTGCACTTTGTATTTTCAAATTTCTGTTACGTACAAGATTACCATATTAAGTAATAAGTATATGTGGATTACCGAATATGTAACACGATTTGGACCCGATAATTTAAACATAGAACTCGATACAACAAAGACATGCCAGAGAACTTAGCATAATATTAAAACCCACCCAGCTTATCAGGGCATAATACACCCTTCTAAGACATGAACACCGAAGCAAGCTATTGCATAGAGCTTAGGCCTTGAGAGTATTTGTAACCTCACATTTGAAGGCATTACTCCCAATAGTTGATGCTTAGCACACCTTCTGCTGTCATTTGTTATGTCCTATAAAAAATCGCGCATCGCAGTATCGCACGATGGTTCTCCATTTCACCATTTGGTTCACAAATACTAGCAAATGTGGATCAACCTTTACTTCCTCGAGGAAAACTGCATTTTCAAGTATTCGTGCTCCGTCGACTTTTTCTTTGGCTTTGTCAAGTAGACGAAAAAGTCGACGAGGAAAATTTCAATGAAAAATAAACATCTTATGATTTTTGGCCTCCATCGACTTTCTTGTCGGGATTTCAAAGCTGACGAAAAAGTCAACGAAAAACAATTCAACAAAAGATAAATATCTTTTGACTTTTACATTCATTAATTTCCATCATCAATAAATCAAAGAAAATTCCAAATCAACAATCCGCATATGAATGTTAAATGATTGAATTTTTCATTAAATTTCTAGATTATGTCGATTTTCAATTAGGTTATAAACGCAGATGACCATGTCGATTTAGATCATATTGAAATTTAACCTTAAAGACCAATGATAATTAATTACCGAATAATAATATTATCTATTTGTTTAAAAACAAATTAATGAATTTTGACCTTTCATTGATGTTTCCGTCGGGTTTACTAAGTAGATGAAAAAGTGGACAGGCACACTCTGAACACAACATAAACATTTTGTAACTTATACCGATATCAATAAGCAAAAAACTATTTTAAAACATTAATACTAGGTGATAAAAAATTCAAATATTTATATTTTTTCGATAACTTTTGGATCACGCCTAGTAAATGATTGGATTATGGAAGACGAACTATGAAGTAGAAATTGAAGTGTATGGTAGAAGTTCGAATCACGTTGACTTTCACATTAATTTACAATATTATGTGTGTCCCGTCGACATTTTTTGTTTTGTTTTGTTTGAAATTCTGGAGTCCCTTCTAATTGAAAACAGGATTTGGTACTCCGTCGACTTTTTCTTCGGCTTTGTCAAGTAGACGAAAAAGTCGACGAGAAAGATTTCAAAAAAAAAAAAAATGCATCTTACGATTTTTGGGCTCCGTCGACTTTCTTGTCGGTCTTTGCAACCTGACGAAAACGTCAACGCAAACAACTCAACAAAAGATAAATTTTTTTGACTTCTTGTTAATTAATATCGATAAATAAAAAAAATTCCAATAAACAAATAGGCATTAGAAAGCTAAATATTTGAAACTTTCATTAATTCTTAGATTTTGTCGATTTTTTGTCGTGTTATAAACGCAAACGATTATGTCCATTTACATCGTGTTGAAATTTAACTTTAAAACCGATGTTAAATAATTACCGAATAATAATACTATTCAAAATTTTTTAAAATACCAAAAAATTAATAGGTTTTGACCTTTCGTCGACATTTCCGGTCGAATTCACTAAGTAGACCAGTTGACACACAATTTCAACACAAAATTAACATTTTATAACTTATATATTCATACCAATGAGCAAACATTATTTCAAAACAAAAAACACTAGGAAATAAAAAATTACCTCTCTTTTTCATAATTTTTCTGATCGCGCCTAGTATTTAATAGGATTATGAAAGACGAACTACCAAGTAGAAAATGAAATGCATGGTATAAATTACAATCACGACGACTTTCACATTAATTTACATTATTACTTGATTAATTATGCCCGTCCACATTTTCGGGTTTGCTTTTAGTGCAAACGACAAATTGATTATAAATTCTTTTCTTTTTTAATGAGAAGTGAAAATTATATTTCATGTAAATAATCTTAATCACAAAACCATAATGCCAACTGAAAATAAACATTTCTATTCTTCTAGGATCTCTCTCTGTGTTTTTTTTTTTGGGAAATAAATCTTACAATGAAAAGTCTTTCTAACTGCCAGACTGCCAGCGGCCCAGCCCAAAGCGGTATTTCTCACCCGCCTTCTATATTCCCAAAATTTTCGAAATATTACCTCAAATTTCAAATTTTTCGCACCAAAGAAACACGACAAATCTCTCTTACGTTGCAACTCCACGTCATCGATCCGAGTCAATCATACCAGCCTATCTCGTCCGTCCATAATCATATCAACGGCTCAAGATAATCTACATTTTTTAATCACACGGATCGAGTCCAAATCTCACACAATGCCTCATCAATTGCACACGCCACTATAAATAAGAAACCTTTCCCCGCTTTCGTCTTCATCATTCTCCTCATTTAGCCCCAATTACTAGTCATCAGTTCGAAATCTTCATTCAATTTCAAGGTACTTTCTCATTCCTCCACCTTTTTTTCACAGGCTAATTAATTAGATTTCTTAGGTCAATTTCCTTTTGCAATTGTATGGAATTGTTTCTGTCGTTTTACCCTCTTCGATTCATCTAAACTGTGTTGTTCTAGCTTGATTTTCTTCCTCTGCAACCTAGGGTTTTGGATTAGGATTGTAATTCTTTCTGTTTGGTGTATACAGGTAGATCCGCGTGCTTTTTCAGCCGGCGACAATGTCTGGACGTGGAAAGGGGGGCAAGGGACTTGGAAAGGGCGGTGCCAAGCGTCACCGTAAGGTTCTCCGGGACAACATTCAGGGAATCACCAAGCCAGCTATCCGTCGTTTGGCCCGTAGGGGTGGAGTCAAGCGTATCAGCGGTCTGATTTACGAGGAAACTCGGGGCGTGCTGAAGATCTTTTTGGAGAACGTTATCCGTGATGCCGTGACCTACACTGAGCACGCTCGCCGGAAGACGGTGACCGCCATGGACGTCGTTTACGCGCTGAAGAGGCAAGGAAGAACTCTGTACGGTTTCGGTGGTTAAGAGGCATAAGGAAGAAAGAAGAAAGAAGGGATTTACAGGGGAGGAGGGTAGTTTGGTCCGTAGATTTTAGTATATCATCTAGAAGTCTTGCTGTCAAGAAAGAATATAAACAAAAAAGAAATCCTTCATTATTAGGTTTCAAAATGTCTGTATTTAGTCCAGTTAAGATTTTGCCAGTGTTTTTTGGATTATTATCAGTTAAATGAATTGAACGGCTTGTTCTTGGTTATATAATCTAAATTTTGGGGTTATTTTACCATTTAGGTAATTAATTGGCCCTCCTTTTAATTTTAGCAATTTTCTTATTTACTAGCTAATTTCAAATAATCGCTTTTATTTTGGAGTAATAAACAGTGTAAGCTCTCCAAATTGTTGGGCGCTTAAACCCTCCAAAAGCCCCCAAAATTTTAACAGTGAGGATATTGAATCCAGAAAATGGGGTTTTTTGACCTAAACATCCCGTACCACGAATCCGATCGTTATGTCGCCGCCGATAAATCCACCCTCAAATCAATCCGCCTCAAGCTCGCCGTTAAAGCCGCCGAATTAGGCTACACCGGCGTTGCTTACAACCGTGTTATCAAGGGTGTGATGTCCGACAAAGACCGTTGTTCCATCCCGCCTTTTGCTCTGTCTTCTCTTATCAAGCTGGCGCCGGCGCTGTCTAGCTCCGTCAAGTTCCACCGTGAGCTGCTAAACGTCCCCGTTTCAACTCCTTTCCGTCAGTACACGAGGTTGACCGTTGTCGTTGATAGTCCGGCTCAGACCGCCGCTCTTAACTCCGGTAATCCTGTGCTTAAGTCGTATGATATTGTTGCTGTGAGGCCGCTGAATCAGAACTCATTTGAACAGGCTTGCCAAACTGCGGAGGTTAGATCAGACTGCCTTTTTTGTTTCCTTTGAGTTGGAATTTGATACTGAATTGTATTTAAACGGTCATTTCTATTGCTTCCTATATAATTTGCAGGTTGATATCATTGCGATTGATTTTTCAGAGAAATTGCCTTTTAGGCTTAAGCAATCCATGGTCCAAGCTGCCGTTAAGGTTTGTTTCAACTTGTGTTTTTTTGCTTTTCTGAGAATACCATCCTTGATATATACTGCTTTTTCGAAAAATTAAAGTTATTGTTCGGGTGAAGTGGTTGCCAATGTGTGTTTTCTAGTAGGAGGTAACTGTTAATTTTTGGCTTGCAGCGGGGGGTGTATTTTGAGATATCTTACTCTGGTCTCATTGTGGATGCTCAATCAAGGAGGCAATTAATATCCACTGCAAAGGTATGTTTTAGAAACGGTTACCAATGTGGTTTCGACTTGTTTGTAAGTTCTGTTAATGTCCTTATGTGGTGTATTTAAACTGGAGGTTAATTGACCTGGGGAAGGGAAGGATTCCTGAGGACTTGGGAAGGAAACTATTGAGAAGACATGACATGAGATCATGTGTTTTCACAATGCACAATGGTAATCTGTGATCTTTCTAGGAAAAGACAGTAAGAAGACTTCGAAAGATACTGTTGAAAGCTTAATTAGTGTTTCTTGAACTGCATTAGGTACCAGTCTCCATGCCCTTGTTGGTTTGCAGTAGTCAGTCATTTCAATGGTGCTTGTGATAGCATTTAGGCGAGGGTTTTGCAAGTTCTTTATGAACCGCATGTACATAAGTACAAGAGGTGCATAAGATCAAGAACTTTGAGAAAACCTTTTAATCATAACACATTAATCTTAGATGCCATAAAGTCATTTGTAGGTGGAGACGGCTGTGAGATTTTTATAAATTTAATTATGGACTATCAGGGTATGTCTTATTACTCTGAAGTAAGGACACTGTTATAGCTATCCACTGAAATTGGGCTTAATCATCAGGGATATTTTAATGACTCTTGCATCCTTTTTATGAATCTTCCAGTTGAAAGAATTTGGTGGATCAGTTTTCTAGTGTTTTTGTTGACTGAATGGGGAGCATGTTTAATGGTATTAAAATGGAATCACTTGCATGTTATTGCTCCACAAATTATTAAAAAGTTCATCAAATGTTTCTTTATGGTAACATGTTTGCTTTATCGTTAGTTAATGACTGTTCTATTTGTAACTTGTGGCTTGAAAATCTTATGATCTGTAACTCTCCCAGCTACTGGTGGACTGGACTCGAAGGAAAAATCTAATTGTGTCAAGTGCTGCTCCCTCTGCAGCTGAACTGAGGGGGCCTTATGACGTTGCTAATTTGTTGTTCTTACTTGGTCTTCCATTTGAACATGCCAAAGCTGCTATTTCCAAGAACTGTAGGTATGGTAGTTTGTGGAAATACAATTATTTTACCAATTTTGTCTTCATTTGTTCTTTCTTGGTGAGTTTTTTACCCGCCTAATAATATCACTTTCCGTTTGATTAAGGGCAGATCTCTCATAGAGGTGGCATTGAGGAAAAAACAGTATTTTAAGGAGGCAATAAAGGTTGAAGTGATTCCTTCAAGTGGAAATTCTAATTGTGAGACACCACCATTTAGTGACTGGCTTAAGTGGGATCCAATATCTAGTGGCGAAGGTGACTTACTTTTGGATGACATAGAGAAGTTCTTCGCCGGTAATGATAGGGTATGTAATACTGTCAACTCAGTCAGACTTGCCGCGGCTTTGAATAGCCTGCCTCCCCATGGTTTGCAGATGAAGAAGGTATCATCTATTGATAAGTTTGTCCCAGAGGTTTTGGACGGCGTTGAAAAACTGCCTTCTACTGTGGAGAGTCAGGTGTCAACGTATGGACAATCAGAAGAGCCATGTGCGGCTAACTCCCAAACTCTGGAAGCTCAACATGCTGAGGAAATCGGACATCAGTACCCCAGCCAGTTGACTTCTCAAAATCATTCTTTGTCCAGTAGTACAGTAAATGATTCTTCTCAAGTGGATAAAAAGAGTAACCTAGGTGCGTTAGAGGAATTGAATAGTGCAAAGGAGTTAATACGTCTTCCCATTTCTGATGTTACGTTACGTAGTTTGGATTCATATAATTGCTCGGGTAGTACTTTGGTCCCTTCAACAGATGGAGTTACGAATATCATTTGTGAATATAATACTGATACTGCTCAAGCCCATGATAATGTTTCCCCTGGAAAAAATGCGAAACCATCCTCTCCTGGTGAAGAATCTGCTTTGCCAATTAGCTCCCCTGTAGATTTGCACATTGTCATTGACAAAGGCAAGAATGGGACAGTCCGAGAAAATGGAGAGAAGCCTCCTTTTGCCCTGCCTGACGCCTCTTCAAATGAAAGGTCAAACAATACAGACTTTCCAGAAAAATTGGACAACTTCGTTATTTCTAATGATGCTTTTACTTGTGAGGCATCTCATAATCTTATAACGAGGGAGAATGATTCGGTTTCAGTAGTTGAACCAATGCAAGAGGATAGTCTAGAGGACGAAAAGGAAACAAAGGGCAATCAAATTCTGGGTAAACCTGTAGCAGGTATACATACTGATTGGAACTCTTCTGTTTGACCTGCGTATAGGCTTTATATTTCTATGCATTTAATCTTCATAGATGTCACCGTTGTAAAAAAAGTTTTTTTCCTACCAACAATGTATTCCTTTTATTACTATTTGGTGTCTGTTATATGGAATTCAGATTTTGGTTTGGTATCATGGATCTTGGTTCGCATTTTATGACATTTCCTTTTATGACCATCGATCGATTTCTTCACCTTCTATTCATTATTTGAACTTATTCCACACTGACCTTTTTAAGCAAAATATTTTTTACGACTTGAGTTCCATTGAACTGCATGACTTGACTTACGAATCCCTTCTTTTGTCTCATAGTTTTCTGTATCCTTAATTACTCTTCTCGTCCTGTCATATTATGTGCGATTTTTTTCTCTCAAATCATTTGCAAGTATTATGGATAGGGAGTTGTGGGTTGTAATTTGTGTGTTTTATAAATCTTAATACCTAGTTTTAAAATGTTAGGTAGCGATATGTTTGCTGGTGATGTGATAAATTAGGTAAACTTACCCTTGGGGCTTGATGCTTCCACCCTGACTTGAGGAAAGACTGGTTTTTATTGTTCTTTACAGTTGTTCCATGAACTTAAAATTCTCAACCCATAACTCATCCTGATCATGTCTACCCCGGTGATGATGATCCTGTTCAGATCTTTAAACCTTGGTTAGAGTAAGAAATCAGATTAAAAAGCAACCTGGAATTTTAATTATTAAGCGCAGGGATAATTACTCTTTACTTTGGAAGCTAATTTCATGTTCTCCAATTTTCTTTTGATCTATATGTTCTTATTTAATATCCATTTCTGGTGATTGGTGGTTGATTTTTCCATTTTTTCTCCCCTGTGAAATGCAGGTAGAAGACGACGTAAACGGAGGGCTGATTATTCGCATTTCCCTTTTCATCTCAAGCATATCTTGAATTTAAAACCTTTCAAGAAGACTAGAAAGTAAAATCCATGTTAATTATGTAAGAAACCTCTGAGTTTTTCAGTCATTTCTGTGTTTTATGTTGGTAATATAGCTGAAGATATTTCCTCTTTCGTACTAACATTGGAATTTGGGTTTTGTTTTTTTGTTTTTTTTTTTCATTCATATGTAATGGCAGTATTTTGGACTTATTTATTGATCTTTCTGAACCTATGTTATTCATGAAGTAGCAAAAAATCTGAACTCTCTCGTTTACTTTTATCCATCAATTAAAACACAGGTACCTTTATCTCCTTTCACCTCCCTGGAAAATTAATTAAACTTGGGAACAAAAATGAAAAGAAACCACATCAAGACCTGTTTTAGAATTTGTGACTACTGTTTTCCCGCAGAATATATTTTTTCGTTGACACATTATGTTGATTATTAGAAATGTGTATGTTGTTTATTATTTAAAATTAATCGACTAATTTGCTCTGTAATGTTAATAGGTTATAGTAAACTACTTTCGATTCTTTTCGTTTACTTAGTTTTGTTTATATTGTCCAGTGGATATGTTCTACTGATGTTAGTAGAAGAAATCGCTGCTCTGTACGATGAAGGCTTCAACTGAAAATCCTCTGTCTGAGTTCGTTTTGGACTTCTTTGCATACAGTAAGCACTGAACATCTGTCTACTGAATTTATATTAAGTATGACCGAAAAAAAAAAAAAGGTATGACAATACTTAACTGTAGCTAGTCAAGCTAGTGTAGCTTCTGATTTGATCATTTTCCTATCTTCGAACTGGCATTCGGTTTATGTTGCATGAAGCCGTGAACAATACACTTACTGAAATAATTATTGTTTCTTCCTGTAGATATTGTATTTCAACTTACTCTTTTATCTCTAAAAAGACTCAGAAGAGATGGTGTGTATTCTCGTTTGTACTAATCATCTCTTGTTTTAGGCTCGGCAGTTGATTTCTATGAAGCCAGAGGATTTAAAAGCAAGTGAATTTACGTATAAAAGGTGCAAGGAACAGTATCTGCTCGATGGTAGATCAACATCAGACGGGACTTGGGAGATTCAAAGTGGATTTTCTTGTAGCTTCAGAGAAGCTTCTGGGGTAGCGTTTGCTTACGAGTTGCTTTCCACTAACATAATTATATATTGATCTTTGAAGTTCAGAATGTGCCTAGCTGTACTTGACCAGTTTCTGCCCATAGTAGTGTGGATGGTTAGATTTAAGTTAATCGTTAATGCCTTTCATGTGCCTTCTAATTGTTTTTGCTCATTATTGTGCTCTAATCCCTAGGGTAACGACATCCTTTTCCTTTCCTTTAGTTTTGTTATTACCAAAATGTTACTCCAAAAGGCAATAAAGTGGCTTTTGTTTCATTATTTTGCTGAACATAGACAACATGGTAAGTAGGCATTAACGTCATTTGCCCCAAAGGTCTTAGGTCCGTCCTGGTGCCTCAGCTTGTCTAGTGTAGTCTTCACTTTCTTTCCACTTGAATGGGTAGTCCATGATTCTTAATCTAGTTGCAACCTTTGATTAGCTTGGGCTTGGTCTCATGATTTAGATGATCATCAAAATCTTTCGTTTTGTATACATTGTTGGTTTCTCTGTTTGCAGAAAAAAGTTAAAATGTTACTGCAACGTGCTTCTGAAATTTTATAGCCGTCCTTTGAAAAAGATGGGTTTTGATATGTATCTGTGTTAATATAACTAAGGAGTTAGTTTCATTCATTTCTAGTACGTATTTTAAGTTGTGCATTTTCAAAATTATTTTCTTTCTATGATGGAGAGAGGCATGATTGGAACCAATCCTATTACCTAACCTAAGCAATTATGCATGGATTTTATCAAGTGGGAGCCTTTCCGCAAGCGAGGAAAAGAAGGCGGATGGTATCTTTTGATCATGTGCAGGGGAGACAGAGCTAGGTGATATGATAAACTTTATCTAGTTTTTGGGTTAGTTTGCCATCCTGGGATTTCGTGTTAGCAGTTTAATTGATTATTCTTTTTTTCATATTTTAACAGTCCATTTTGTTGAACTGTATAGTACATCGAAGTGGATTATTAAAATGAAACGAAGGTGTATTTAGGCAGCTTGATTGATTTCTCATTCGCACATGAGTCTGGTGGGCTAGATATTGTCTTCCCTGAAAGAATCAACCGGCCGTCCTCCCACTTCTTAGGGGCCATCTTTGCAATTGGGATGAGCCTTTAATTAAGACCAAAGTCCGGATTTGATTCTTCTCTAGTCTTAAAACAGTCTACTGACAATCTGCGATTTCGCTTTTTGTTATTATTATAAACCTTCTACTCATCATTCAGTAACATGAAAGGGACCAAATGATTCACTTAAAGAAGGAATTAGCATTGTCACTTTTGCAATATTATATACCTAATGTGACTCCAAAAGACAGACATCCACTTGAGACTATGTTTAAAGAGGGTAGGTAGGTGAGGAACTCACGGGGTTTTTTGGGCCGCAACCTGTGTGTTTATGTGCAGTAGGATAAACTTTAACACGATTCTTTTTGCAGCTTGTGAGGGCTAGGTTAGATTTTTTTGTTCATCATTGCTTGCTCTTGAAGGAAATTCCTTAAATGGCAGTTTGAGGGTTTTTTCTTTCGCATTCTGTCCTGGCACGAAGTTAATCAGGTTGAGGTCCATGGGGAGGGATGACTAACTAAAAAAGATTCTACGCGTAGCTCTTAATCAGGCATATCCTTTGCCGTCCTGGTGCTACTTGTTGTGGAGCTTGTAAATAGTTTGCGAAATTTTTTTGCTTCGAACAACAAATCATTTGGAAATGTTCGTATATCTCAACTTGCTGTAACTTTACTTTTGTGCTAGAAAGAAAATTATAAAGAATTTTTATTTTTATTTTTTTTAAAAATAAAAAAACCCTTTAAAAAACAGATAGTTTCATCATTTTAAGTTTTGAAATCTTAGGAACTCGAAGGATGCATTTTTCTTGGATTCTTCCTGGTCTATTGCTCACTTTCTAGGGGTTGGGGCTCCTATGCTTCAACCTGTGATAATCCGTAACTTTCCCAATGGCTTTTCACAAACCCACACAGGAGAATGTCGAATCGTAACTTGTAGTTGTCAAATTGGTTTACTAGTTAAAGAATTTAGTCTTGAAAAAAGCCTATAAAAGGTAGCAGAGAAGTCTTTAAAATAAAACAGTATTCCCTTGTAATTAACCGAAACCCAACCAATAGGAGGTTTACACAATCCTGCTAAAATCACTGTACAACTTCTTCCACAACAGAGGTCAGTTTCATTGGTTTCCCTCTGCCTCCATGATAACCTTTGTTGCAGTGGTACAGTCTTCTCTAATTTGATTGGAAATCTGTGCGTGTTACCCATTATATTGGAATGAGTGGGATGGCTCAGCTGACCACAAAAATGATCAATAGGCATCGTGGAATGATGAAGATGAACCTATCTTGCTGTTTAAGCTAGTAAGAGCTACTCTAGTGTTAAGGATCTAGACTAGGTAGGTGTCGCTCTTTTAAGCTTCTGAAAGTGTACCATTTCCAGACTTCTTCCATATTTTCAACTGTTTTTGATGTTCTCTAGGAATTCGGCTGAGGTTCTTGTCTTAGGCTGTGAAGATAAACGAAAGGGCACTAGCAAGGAGTTTAAGAACAAATAAGAATTGAGGAGGGCAAGAGTTGTCACTATGCCTGTCGCAAGGTTAATCATCCGTCTCAATCCATCAAGAAGTTAGAACACTTTCCCTGAATATGCATTCATAACATGTGGATTCACTTGATTGTCTACGGTTCCATTGTTTATATTCGAGGTAGAAGTTTCTGTACAAATAGAATAACCTGTTTGAAGCGGAATAGTGGTAGTTGTTTTTTGGACTTAGAGGATAAGAAAAAGGAACATCCTGAAAATCATCTCTAGAGGAAAGAATTTGGACTACTGTTTTTTATTTGATAGAGGGTGTAGTTCTATATACAAATACACATCTAGGAGACAGAAGACTAGAAAGACAATTTGCTAGATGTACAAAAAGCTCCTATTTGAAACTTGAGAACACTTGGAAATGCTTGAGCATACATCAGAAAAAAGGCCATTCTAAATGCCAAATGAGCTCAACTACCTTAAAATTGAGGGGGAGCTCTTCATCAAAAGTCAATTACATGACAATACTAGAAATTAATACATCATTTCAACCTGCATTAACCATCTTGATAGTCTTTGAACTAGAGAGAGCTCCGTTACAATAAAACCCGGGGAGCCAGCTTTATGTTACGGTCATCCCCTGGTTACGGGATCAGGTTAGCCGAAAGAGCATCAAGAATACTAATCCAGTTGTCGTCGTCTTCATCTTCTTCCTGATCAATGCCGGTATGATCCCACTGAGTTTGACAAGCCTTCTGATCAATTTCATCATTCCTTGCAAACCTTCCCCTGATGCGCGGTCTGCTGTCAGCTAAAGTCTTCCTGCATTCATACTAAAATGGAATACAACGGTCATTTCTGAGTTGACAGAACAAGGATAGAATTAGAAACTATTAGTATGCATGATTTTTGTGGTTTAGAAGCGCCACTGGACCCTCTAAGTATAAAGTCATACTGCTAAAAGTCTCTAAAGCAGCCACTTTATCATTATTTCCATAACACACATGATACTTCCATGTGTAAATCCTTCAAAAATGGGCCACAAACTGATAATTTTCGCCCCACCATTACTGTTTTCTGATTTCTCCCCCACAAAAAAATGGATTTGCTTCACTATCTATTCTTGAAAATTATGCTTTTGTCGGCGAATATTGTAACGATAAATCATTTATTTAATACATGTCCATTCTGATAATGGTTGCTTCAATGCGCTGTTTAGTACGAGGTTAGTTTAGAAGGAAAGAAGAGATAGATTAAAAACCTTGATCTTCTTATTGAAATTTCTCAGGTTTCGCTTGCTCCTGTATCTCTCAATCCTTTCTTTCTTCTCCTCTGGACTGTATTTGCAGGCTTTGCTCATACTTTCAATGATGCTGTACTCAGTCGCTAGCGAATTGTCTGACCGATGATTATGTGGCTTTGGATTCATGCACTGTTTTTAACAACCCGTAGGAAGATTGTTAAGAGATGTCTCATATAATCAAACAACAGCACCAAATTGTTCTCTTATGAAAAATGCAGATAATCAAGCAATAACAGCACTAACAGATTGATTGATGTAAGTGCAGGAATGATACCCACTTGGGAGCACCTAAATTCAAACAATTTGTCATTATTTGAATGTTTCTAATCTTTGAATGATTAAAGAACAGAACCCTTTTTTTTTAATCCTTACAACTACAGTAACATTAACAGAATTCTGAAAACATCTAATCTGGTGAAAAGGGTTGCAGTCATTTAGCCAAAAGAGAACAATTCCCAATGACTCTTAGCACTATCTTATAAGATTCAAAAAAGGGGAAAGGGTGACAAATGAGAGAGATTCATTTGATTATACGAAATCAATCAATCTTTTCTACTGCTCATCCATCCAATGATCCAAGCCGCTTAATCTGACATTTACACTAGGGTCCACTACAAAAGAGAAGAGACCATTATGCAGCCATATTGTCCTCCTTTTCCTGTTCATTTCCATGAAAACAATTGATGAATTTTTTTTTTTACTTATAGTTTTGGAGAAACAGGGGAATCGGGTTTGAATTTCCTGTGTTTGGTTTTTTCCAGCAGAGCAAATGCAGTCGATTTAACTATATTCATGCAAATCAAAGCCTTTTGGTATTTTCAATTCATGTTGCATGCAAAAATGTCATCAGGAACAGAAAAATGCAAACTTGCATGCTTTGTCAGCACCAGTCTATAGTTAAGGATGACAATTTATGACACGGTACAAGTACGATCCAAAAATATAAAAATAAAAAATGACGCATTTATTGTAATGATCATTATTGTGTATTTTGTAGGTTACATGATCCTGACAAGACAAAAATTGTTTTTACTAACCTTATGAAACACAACTCAATTGACACATGATGAAACAAAAAATGTTGAAATAAAGTTTTCGAAAACTCACTTGCAAATCACCAGCGCTCAAAACCTTCCTGACTGGACTAGTCTCCGCAGAATCTAAGTATCCAAGTGGGGAGAACCCTTGAAAGTTCTTGTTATGTAACAGTGAATGGCTGCTGATGCTTCTCTGCATCATCAAACTATTTGGATTATTTGCCAATTCAAAGCTTGTGAGTGAAGTAGGAGGAGAACCATAGTAACTTGTGAGTGAAGTTGGAGAATTGTAACTGCTGCATCCACTGCTGCTGCTGTGGTTGAGTTCTGATTTCAAAGCAGACAGATATTCATACTCATTCACAGGGATTGCCAGAGGTGCTGGCAAAGAAGAAGAGGATGGGAAATGGGATTGAAAAATTTCAGTTGATGATGATGATGGGGATGAAGGTGAGTAGAAAATGGGGAATTCATTGGCATTCATATTGTTGCTTTGCTGCCCATACATCATGAGTAATTTGTGGTGTGGGGTGTTTTTTCTCTCCTTTGGAATCTTGAAGAAGGGTTTTGTGGAGGTTTTTGCCCTTTTAAGTTTTATAAAGCGTGTAGGGGACCTGATATATGTTAGTGTGTGTGTGCGCGTTTTTTTTTTTTTTTTTTTTTTTCTTGGGGGCTACTTTCTGGGGGTGGCACAAAAATTACCTTGAAAATTTTTGTGAATGCTTCGATTTGAAAGTTTGAGTGAAAGTGAACTGTGATTTATAATCCCACAAGAAAGGCCACATAGAGCAGGACTACTGACGTGGATGCTGACGTCATTCTTATAGGGCGTGTTGACTTTGGTTTGTTGCTCTTTTTTTTTTAATTATTATTATTATTATTATTATTATTATTATTATTATTATTATTATTCTTTTGTTACAGAAGAGGAGGCTAATGTCTGTATCATTGCATTTCTAGGGTATAAAACTCCTATTATATCATGTTTCAACCATAAAAGTGGAACTTCGAACCATTATAAAACTCTAGGACTTTGAACTGTCAATGAAGCAATATAATTTACTGCAAAATTAATTTCTCGTTATATATATGATCAAGCTCCACTATCCAGTCTCTCTTCAGAAACTCCTGAATTTTTCGAACTACGCCAGCATTCATCTCAGATATCTCATCCTCCCCTTTTACCATCTTGAGAAATATTTTTAACTTTTTTGGTGTATGTATTTATTCTTGGTTTAGGGAGCTAGGACGGTTTATTAATGTAGCCTTCGAGTAAAAAGAAAAATACAACTTTCAAAGTGAATCTTGAACTTTTGAGTCCAAGACTTGATCTTTTTCCATCTCGTGTCCTTCTATCATGTAATCGTCATTCAAAGACACTGAATTATTCATATACTAATGGTTATTCTCTTTGTCCCGAACTTATTATTTAATTTTGATTTTTATTTTTTACTTTAATTTGTATTAAAAATGAAAATATAAATCGGGCATTCATTTCAAGAAGGAAGAAGTGTTATTTTTCTTGCTAGTGAGAATTCGACTCGATTAACTAATAACTAGCCGTTATTCCCCTTCACCTGGCTTATCAGTGAGAGGAGTCCGATCTCCTCCAATGCCCAAACTTGTGCATACTGCAATAGTGGATTTCATGTTGGTGCGGCATTTGTATTCCTTTGAAAATTGTGTATGGATGGGGAAGATAGGGTTGAGATGGAGACAAGCAAGAGGTATATTTGAAGTAGGGGAAAATAATGTGCCAATGTATATTGTCAATCAATTCTAAGAAAAGTGTTTGAAGGTGATAAAAATTATCAATCATGCGCATTTGAGGCAATTACATCTCAGTATAGAGGAGTTTATCACCAAATAGTTTTGAGACTTTTTGCATTGAGTTAATTGACAAGTTATTATGAACTTTATTAGCATCGTGTTACATCCCAATTTCATTTTCAAGATCGAAAGAGCATAAGTAGGTCAAAATAGCCTGACAGGTGGCTTCCCCAGTTTTGTTCAATTATACGGTCATTTTAAGAAGTCACGGCCGGAGAAATCTAAAAGGTTGCTTATTCCTTGATCTTCCATCTACCGATGTTAAACAGATCGTTCATTTCTAATATTTTTATCTTCTCTGTAACTCTTTCTAAAAGTTATCTAAATAACTAAGCACATGTAACGTGTTTTTAAGTAAATTTTTGAAGAAACGTTACACAAATTTGTTGTACAAAATTCGATGCTCATACGTGTTTTGAACAATAAGTAATCAACATATGTGCCCATTATAGGGGAGATTGGGTTTTTTGTTTTTAATTTTTTTGGGGGTCTATGCCCTTCTAATCAAGATTAACAAATTTGTGGTGGTCCATTTGTCACAAACAATTCATCGCTGTAGTACATCAATATTTCTACCTCAAAGAGACATTGATTCATTGCCAACTTGCAATTCGAAAACAATTTCAATAAGACCCACCACTCATAAAAAAAAAAAAAACGATTGGAAAAAAGAAAGAAATTACGGGAAAAAAAGGAGAAAGTGATCAAAAGAATAATTTTTAATGCATTCCCATGTGAGGTGCATGTACAATTTCCAATCATATATGTTGTATATACTAGGTTAGGGATGATAATATCTAGGGTTAATCATTATTAACATGACATAATATGGGTTCCAGTTGCTAATTTAGTGGTACCTTAATCCTAATTTAGGAATGGTTTAGGGCAACATGCTAATTTTTTAACTCGTGTTCTTTTTCCCAAAATCTGCCTCCCCATAATGATATGACTTGAAATTAGGACTTTTTATTGAGATTTGACTCCACTAACAATCTTCTTGTAATTAGACCAGTCGGGACGGCTTATAATTTTGCAAAATACCATAAAGAATCCCACAATTTTTTCTCCCTCTTTTTACTTTGATGAAGCACGCACATACATGTTACAATTTGTTAGCCAATCTTACTTGTTAGCCAATTTTTTCCGGCCTTGAACAAAACTAGCTGGGGCACTCAACTAAGAAAAATCAACCCCTAACATAAGAAGAGATGATAGTTGATATAAAATAAAATAAAAATGGCATTAATTTCATAAAGAAGTGATATTCTTGTATGTACGTACAAATAGTGGTAGTACAAGACTACATAGTTGACTATTGCAAGAAGTCTGGTGCGATAATGGAAGATTTGAAAAATGTTACAAATCTTGAAGACTTGTACGCATCATCCATCATCACTAATTTTCTCACATCCTCACCATGAGAAGAGAAGAAGAAATTGATAGGGGACCCCTATTGCATCTTGAAAGCCTCTTGGGTCCAAAAGAATCGTCCATATCACCTCAAAAATTCTCATCATTCAAATTCCCTCCATGTTGGTTGTACTGTTCGATATATGTAATTAAAGGGTTCGGAAAAATTAAAGATTTTTTGTGCCTTGAGATTTCGAAACGATATTCACCAGAAGAATATCAGATGTTTTTTAGAGTTCTAGCTATATTAATCTTGTTTTTATTCAATAAAATGTTCATATAAATCTTTATTATAAAAAAAGAACTGAAAATTTTCAGATTAAATTATGTAAATATTGTGTATCGTATCACAAATTGGACGTTGGGTCGGCTGATGCATGTTACATTGCCTAATTTGATAACAAGTACTTATAATGATGATGATGATGATCCTGTAGACTTCTTTTGTGGGCAAATTGTAATGCTGCGAAGGATGTAACTAAACATGCATAAGAGTATTTGTGCCCCGAAAGAACGTATCGGTCTAGGGTTGGTCAGTACGTGACAGATTGTTGCCAAAAACCAATAGGAAGTCTTCAAAGGAGTTTATTGTGCATTAACGAGAGACAAGAATGCCTTCTTTTCCGGGCTGTTGAAATTGCCATCCACAATTCCAAAGCTCCACCAAAAACCAAACCCCTTTCTGTGCAGTGAAATTAGGGAAAAATTACTTATATGTATCTAAAAAATTACTGAAGAACAAAATAGTTTTAGGGTTTCAATTGTCCCTAAAACTAATTTTTTCTCGCTTCAAAAACGCGAAAATTGGTAAAATCACGTTTTCAAAATGCTAAAAGAAGATTTTTGCGTTTCAGAAATGCTAAAAATAAGTTATATTAATTAATTTAACTTAATCGTAAGTAATTAATGGTAAAAAATTTGATTAAATAAATTTTCGCATTTTCAAAGAGCGAAATAAATAAAAAAGATTATTTTTCGCGTTTTCAAAGTGCGAAAACAATAAAAAAGAATATTTTATTTAAATAAAAAAGGAAATAGTCATAAAAATTCAATTAATTTGCATAGTTTTAAAAATTGTAGGCAAATTTACTTCGAAAAATTATTAAATTTTAATAATGAAATTAAAGGAAAATTTTAAAATTATAATTGATAATCATTAAATTTTGAATAGAGCTATAAAGAAGAAAATTATTAATAGAAAAATTATATTGATAATTTTAATAATAGAAAAATTAAATTTTGATATGAATATAACTATATAATTGATACTCATTAAATTAAATAGAGCTATACTAATATAAATTATTAAAATTATGAAATAATTATTATAATTTATAAAATTTTTAAAAAATTATATTAAAAAATTAATCATTATTTTATAAAATAATTTGATATGAAAAATGTTCAATAATCATAAATGACGTAATTTTATGGATTTATATTAATTAGATGTAATTTAATTTACAAATTGTTTATATTAATTATGACGGTTTCAATATAAGAAAAAAGCTTAAAATATGAATAAAGTTTAAGAAATATTTATTATAATTTACCAACGCTTAAGATGAAGCAAGTATTTTCTGTTCTTCGAAAACCTCACAGGGGAGACAGCAAAAATGTCGAAGCGAGGACGCGGAGGATCGGCGGGTAACAAGTTCAGGATGTCTCTAGGTCTTCCAGTGGCTGCGACGGTGAATTGCGCCGACAACACCGGGGTAAAGAACCTCTACATCATTTCAGTGAAGGGAATGAAGGGTAGGCTCAACCGTCTCCCTACTGCTTGCGTCGGTGACATGGTTATGGCCACCGTCAAGAAGGGTAGGCCCGATCTCAGGAAGAAGGTCACGCCTGCAGTCATTGTCCGCCAGCGCAAGCCATGGCGCCGAAAGGACGGTGTCTACATGTACTTTGAAGATAATGTTGGAGTGATTGTTAATCCCAAGGGAAAAATGAAAGGTTTTGCAATCAGTGGTCCCATTGAAAGGAGTGTGATGATCTTTCGCCTAGGATTGCGAGTGTTGCCAATGCGATTGTTTAATGCACCGCATCTTAATTTTGAAGAGAACTATAGTTTACTGAATGTTTGTTTTAGGTATCTGGTACTATCCTTTTGTGGATGTGGTAATTTTAATAGACGGTTGGTATGTAAGAGTTAAGAATTACATCCAAACCCTAAACCCTAAACCCTAACAACTCACACAAAGTGAATGATCCTTTAGCGTTTATCAGACAAACATCCAAACCAACACACTAACACAAATACAAACGCAAATAAAATCATTCTCATTAGTGCTTTTACATGAATGTTGAAAACAACACCCAAATACAAACACTAACAGAATCATCACTATGAATTCCATATGGATCGTAAAGTCCTAAGATAATTAGTGCTCACGCCGTCCCAAGAAAATTAGTGCTTTATACGACATGTATAAAGTAATTATTAGTACTACATTTTTAATACATAATGACGAAAATCGATGTTTTTTTTTTAAAAAATATTGCTAATATAAATTGAAAATGGTTGGTGTTTAATATTTATTATACTTGAGTCCAAGTCTTGGACTCCTGCATCAACCCTAAATTCGCGTTTGAGAAACGCGAATACTATATAAGGCAAATATTTCGCGTTTTAGAAACGCGAAATATATTTAAAACGGCCAAACTTTCGCGTTTTTGAAACGCGAATAGTGTGACTCACCAGAATTTGGACACGTGACTGAATCTGGTGAGTCATATACAATATACACGAATTCTAAAAGGCAAAATAACCAGTTTTTGCTGTTTTCGGATCCTATTGATAAACGCAAAATTAGAATTTATCACACAAACATCCAAACCAACACACTAACACAAATACAAACGCAAACAGAATCATCCTCTGAGGTTTATTACACGAATGTTCAAAACAACACACAAATACAAACACTAACAGAATCATCACTACGCATCTTAAGGAAAATCATCACTACGCATCATCAGAATCATCAAAATTGATATTAAGCACACCACGAATTCCATATGGATCGTAAAGTTTATCAATAGCGGTCTTGTCAGCAGATGGATGAGAAAATGGGCAATCCACAGCATCATGATCTAAACTTTCACATCGTGCGCAAACTGTCGCATATGGGCAAGCCCTGGCATTATGGCCCTGTAGTTTACATAAACTACAAGTTTGGAGTCTTCGCTGGCCGGATTTGCTAGTATAATCCATCATACCTTTTTCCCGATTCACACGCTTCCGACCCCGGCCAGCATGGTGGACAAGTTTAGTGTCATCTGGCCTAATTTGCCACGTTGCCTTTGGCCATGGTTCCATGATTGGGTTGAATTCTCCAGAAAACTGCTGGTACCATTGCTGCGTAGTGTAACATGGATCAAAAAGTGGGAAGGGGTTGTCACCTAGCTCACGGGCAACTCGAAGTGTATGGGAACAAGGAAATCTAGTAGTCTGCCACCTTCCGCAAGTGCACTCTCGATCTGCATAGAGCACAACTTGCTTCTCCTCAGCCTTCCATGGTTGATTATCAGGTGCTATTGTAACCGCTTCGTACTTCTGGTTTCTCTTGCTAAACCGGTTGACCTGTTGCCTCAATGATTTCTTCCAGGCCTCTTCATACAGTTTCATGGGCTTAGGAGGTAGAACATTATGACATTTCTGGATCATATCAATGTTTGCCTGAAACAGATTGTTACTTTTCTGAAAGGATGCTAGGATCAAAGCTGTGATCGGGAAGAATTTAGCATCTTTCAGCACATTATTGAAACTCTCTGAAATGTTAGAGGTCATTTCTCCCCAACGATGCCCTCCATCGTGTAAACAGGTCCATTTCTCAACACCCAGCTTCTGAAGCCAACGAGCTGCCTTGTCATTTTTTTTTTCTAATTTTTGCCACTCTGCCAAATACCTTGTCTTTTGCGTCGCTGAACCAATCATTTGACAGTTACCTCCTAGTTTCTCTTTTCGAAAATGCCCAACCAAGTTTGCTTTAACATGCTCTAGACAATACTAGTGGACTCCCATCTCTAGAAATTTTTGCAACATGATGTCCATGGCAGTAAGGATACCCTGATTTCGATCAGAAATAATACAGGTCTTCCTATTCTGTAGAACAAACTTTTTCAAATACTTCAATAACCATTTCCAGCTGTGTATGGTCTCTTCGTCCACAAGAGCAAATGCGATGGGAACAATTGTGTCATTTGCGCACTTCACGCATGACACAATTAGTTTTCCTTTGTAGGATCCTCGTAAGTGAGTGGCATCGATGGTTATTACTGACCAGCAAGCATGAAATAACTATGTAGATGGCCCAAATGCCCAGAAAACATACCCACATACAAACCTTTGCGAGCTTCTTGAATTTTCCTTAAACTTGAATTGCACACAGGTGTCCGGGTTTGACATGAACAATGCATCAAGGAAGCTGGACAGTTGTTGAATACTTTCCTATGTACCATACAGAGCCTCAAGTGCTTTTCTTCTACCATGCCATGCCTTTTTGTAGCTACATTCGACTTGGTACCTCTTCAAAACTTCTATTTGAATTTGGGCATCTGCAAAATCTGGATGTTTTCGCACATTTTGGGCAACCAGTCTAGCAATCATAGAAGACGTGACATTTCGGGACTCGTTTCTCTTGTTTGCCCCGAGACAGTTGTGGGAATCGGACCATACCACCATTTTCCAAGTATCGGTGGCCTTCTGTAGCGAAACTCGCGCCTTTCACAGGCAATCATAGCCGTGAAGACGCTCCTTCGGATATTTGGATCCACATGTCTCGCATTCGACATACCATGTTCGTTTAGAGCTCATTTTCACCCGGAAAGTCCGACCATGTACCAAGTTCTATTCTCCCACTGCTGCATGTGCCTCATGCTTGTTGGTGAAATGTACATCAAGGTCTAGCATCAACGGATTGCCGTCCCACATTTTTTTCCCATCACAATCTACTTCCTCTAAAGTCTTGTCCCATCCACTGATGTCGTCAAAAATATATGGGACTGAAGAAGATGACTCAAAATCAGTGTCGTCATCTGAGTCCTCATCCGATGGGACGTACTCATCATCACTGCTTTCGACACCCCCGCCATCTTCATCTTCATCTTCATCTTTATCTTCATCTTCATCTCTATCTTCATCTTCATTGTCTTCAACTGTTCTACCACCACTAATGCTGGTACCAATATCCTGGCCAAATGTACTTGCATAAACATGGCCTATTCTCTCAACATTTTCAGGGTACAATTCTGGCCATTTATCAGCACAAAGATAAATGAACCGAATAGTATTATCATCATTAATGTGCACACGAGACCTTTTTCCTGACCTCTCCGTCCATACCAAAGAAAAATCAATATACAGCCCTTCTCTATCAACTTCCATCACACCACATACCTTATCAACAAGTTCCGAGAAATCTAACATACGATCAATGATAAGATAACCGTCCGGCGCATCCCTCTGTACCGTGATAGTCCCATCAGGTTCAGTTGTATAAGTAGTATTCCAGTATACTTTCAGACGAACTGTCTCCGTGAAAGACATTTACGACCTGCAAAATCAATTCCTACAAAATCAGAACACTAGAATACATTTTGAATTTTAGTTTTATCGAAACAGTATTTACTCCGTTTACAGATTTAATAATTTCAAAAGAACAACTATACGCCTGAATTTAAAACTCCATTTCTACGCTAAAAAATTGATAAAACTCACTCTGGGTATTATAAACTTTTTCATAAATCAATATACAATAAATTTCAAGAATCATCTAATTTAAAAACACCAAACCCAAATTTTACAATCAAAGAATTTAAATTAATATTAAATCTAAACCTTGTGCCCGAATTACATAATTTATTCTTATGTTTATAATTTTATTTTATTTTACAGAAATCGATATACAATAATTTACAAAGCTCATCTAATTTAATATTCTATTAACTAATATTTCTTTCAATGCACTTTATCAGCCTAATTAAGAATCTACCGTTAATTGAGTAAATCACAATTATTTATGAACTAATAATAATGCTTAAATCATTCTATGCTCACAATAAAACATAAAAAATTATATGTTTTCTATAACGAAAAATACAAACCTGAATGTTGAAACTTTGGGTTTGAAATAGACTTCAGGACTCAAATCAATCTTCTTTAACTTCGGAGCAACTTCTCAATTTGAAGGAAATGAGAGCTTTCTCGGAATAAGCCAAGTCCTCCGGAGTGAAACTCAAATTTGGAGCTCAACAGAAGGAAATAAGGTGGGTTTAGGAAGAAATGCTGTTATTTTGGTATGTGTATCTTAAATTTCGCGCGTACAAAACGCGAATTCATTCAAACCCTATCAGCAAAATGCACATGGAGCCGAATGAGTGGCCGAGGAGTTTTTCTGGATATTTTCGCGTTTTCAAAACGCTAAAACCTTTTTTTTCGCGTTTCTGAAACGCTAAATTGTCACAATATTCGGTCTATTTTCAAAACACTAAATTGTCTAAAATTAATTTAAAAATTTATTTTAAATATATAGCTTTTCGCGTTTTTAAAATGCTAAAGCTTTTTCGCGTTTTTGAAACGCGAATTAGAATATTCGCGTTTTCAAAACGCTATTTTTGGTTTCTCTTTTTTAATTCCATTTTTTTCTTTTTTTTTTCCGGATCAATTTGTGCAAATAATAATTTAATTTTTTTATTTCCATTAATAAAATTCGCGTTTCACAAACGCGATTTTTTAATTTAATTTTTTGGTTTCGCGTTTTGAAAGCACAAAAATATTAGATTTGTCCACCTTTTAAACCCTATACATTTTTTTTCCACAAAATTGAGTTTCAGCTACCCTAAAGTCAAGCACCCGTGAAATTAGTCTCTGTTGTTGCGTACCCGTTTCTGCATGTGTATTGTTTGGGTAGGGTTCACTGTGTTCAATTTTTTTTTTTGCGGGGTGGGTGCTTTTGCATTAATTTGTGATTGGGAAATGATCAAGGGTTTTTTTAGAAGTGAATTCTAGGGTTGGATTTGAGTTATAAAAAAAAAAAAAAAAAGCGTTTAGTTTTATGAATTAGGGGTTCTTTCTATCAAACCAATGGTACAATGGTTGAAGAAACTCGTTACGTTTTGAAGGATGGTTTCTTTTAAAAGATTTTTAGTAGAT